GCTCTCATTATCAAGCGCAGTGGAAGCAACGCCAATGGATGGTGGCGGCTGTTTTGAGCGCCTTCCAACTTTGACCCCTACCATGCAAGCAACCAGAGATTTGGCCGTGCATGGGCCGGGTTTGAAAGTCTATCCAAGGCGTTTCGTAATTTGCGTTCGATTTCGATAGCTTGACAGGCTGCAGCAGAGGTGTAGGACCCGCTAATCGTCGACTTTCGACCGGGTTCGATTTTGTGAGCCTTGAGTCGACCGACATAGGCTGCAGGAGCTATATCGTCGAAAATGAAGTAAAAGAGCGGGAGCGTGACATTCGCCTTCGCATGCACGAAACCCTAAGCAAACCCTAACATCGAACAATCCATCGCAAGTTCGTCAAAAGTCTGCCTTACAACATCATTTTTCGTGGTCTCTCTCGCTTAAAGGGCGCCGCCTCCGATCAGCCGCAAGCTTCCAACGCTTCCTTCATTTGCAAAGGCCGCGCATCAGCATGCGACAAAGATTGCAACGGGGCCACCAAGCGGAGAAGGTGGCCGCGCCGGAGGATGAAGTTGTTGGTGACTCGGAGAACCCGGGGGGAGCGCAAGTCCCGCCGATTGAGTCCGAACCTGCAATCGACATACTAGAGGTGGACGAGTTTGGCCTTCATGCCGATTGGGGACTAGAGGATTATCTGTCATACGTGGAAACTCTTGCTACGCAAAACAAGTGGTCCCCCGAGAAAAAAGCGGAGGCGGAAGCTCATTATCAAGCAAAGTTTGCAGAGCTCAACGGGGAGCAATCTCCTCCGCGAGAGACCATGCAGACAGAGGAAGGGGCGAGTCCGGAAGAAGTCCGAAAGGAGCGGGGCGTTATAAGCCCAGAAGAATACATGGCGGAACTTGAGGAGCTTGTAAGGTGGAATGCCCCATTTGAGAAACCCTTCGGAGACTCAGAACCTGACGACGACAACCCTCAGAAAAGCGGACACTTGAATGCGGCGGGGGAAGGCGATCCCGATGCGCCCACCGAATCGGAGCTGCAAGCCGAGATGATGTTTAAGCAACATGCACGAGGGGAGGAAGCGCCCGAAGAGGTTGAAGAGGAAGAAGAAGGGGGGGAGCTGCAGTCGATGTTGGGAGATCCTGGTCGGGAAATGGACCCAGCGGAGCAGCTCAGGAGGCACAAGGCAGCATTAGAAAGCTTCGGAAAGACCTCGAGAGAACTCGTGACGGCCGGCAAGCAGCCTCAAAAGAAGCGGCGAAGCAAAGCAACAGGTCGGAAGCCAAATAGCGTCTGGGGCGTGGTGGGGGGCAAGAAGCCGGTGGCTGGGGCGGCGTTGCTTGCAGGCAAGCCGGAGGCAGCAGGGGCCACGGGGCAGAAGGGCTCAGGGGGTGCCCAAAAAGAGAAGAAAGTGGCTCCGACGGGCGCCATCGGGAAGCCGGCAGCTGGGGAGGGGAAGCAAACGCTCGAAAAGGGAGGCAGTGGAAAGGCGGTGGTTGGAGCCAAGCGGAAATCATCGGTGGCGATCACGCCCCCGCGGCCCGAGAAGAAGCCGCGCCGGTACAAGCCGGGCACCTTAGCGCTCAGAGAAATCAGGAAGTACCAGAAGAGCACGGACTTCCTCATTCCAAAAAGCACATTCGCTCGGATCGTGAAGCGCCTGTGCAGCACGTATTTGAAACAACAAGACCTCAGGTAAGTTTTTTGATGATGTGGGCGGTCGTTATTATGGACTGAAGAGCTTTCTCTATTAAGTTCAAGGTTCTGGGAGCATGCGGTCTGCTTTGCTCTGGGCCCATGATCCGATCCAGCAGCCAGCTTTCCGAAAGTAATCGCTGACAAGACTGCGGCCGGGCCATCTCCGAAAGTAGGCGCATCATTGAGATTTTGGATATCATGAGTGACAAACTCTGCAACACTCCAGCCGTGGACCGGCTATTCTCCGAAAGCGGGTACATTGGCGGGGTTCCGGACATCATGCGGGAGATAAACTAGACTATGTTCGAGCTTTGCACTGATGTCTTGATGACTATCTTGCAGGTGGCAGGCGTCGGCGTTGGACGCCCTGTTGGAGGCAAGTCAGGACTTCGTCGTGGGGCTGTTCGGAGACGCTGTATTCTGCCAAGCACACGGAAAGCGGAAGACTCTGATGAAAAAAGACTTGGACCTAGCAAAACGGATCCGAGGCATCCGAAATGAGGACGACAAACTCCCACTGCAAGAGGCTGTAGAGCACGTCGTGGACCGACGTGATACCAAGGTCTATGACCCAAACCCAAATAAAGAACGGTGGAAGCCCCCCAAGCAGGTCGAACGGGAGGCGCGAGAGAAAGGGAAGAGCGATGCAGCGCGCCGCACTACAAGGGCTGCGCAGGGGCCCCAGGGAGGGGCTGAAACGTCGAAGGCAAAGGACAAGGGGAAAACAACAGCGCGGGGGCCGGAAGAAGGGGCTAAAACGGAGAAACGCAAGGAGACGAAAGCGAAGCAGGGGCCTGGCGTAGGGGCTAAATCGTCCGGTGAGCGTGCCGAGGTGGTGGAGGGAGCGTTGGAGGAATTCCAGGGAGGCGCAGAGAAGTCGAAGCCTGGAGGAGAGAGCGGCGAAGCCTCCAGAACGGGTGAAGTGGAGGGGGAGAAGGCGGAGAAGGAG